GTTATTGTCACATCATAATCCATCAATTTGTGTAAAATATTGTGTACTTTCCTCATTTTGTTATATTGCAATCTACGTGCAATTGTTTACATATTATTGGCCAGCATTTCACAGTCCTAGGAGATATTTACCTTTAGCTGTTGCATCTCCTGCTCTCCACATATCAGTATTATTTCAGAGAACATATATTTTGTAGTGGGATATATGAAAAGGGAATGCTGGAATTTTTATATGTATCTCATTTACATACACTATCAACAAGAATCAAACCACTGGAAGAAGGATTTTTTTAAATTAGTCACTTATTATAAACAGCAGCATACCCTAAATTATTTAAAAATTTAAACTAGTACATAAAAATGTACAACTTGATTGATAGTAAAAAAGATATATTTTAATTAAAGAGGGTATTATTCATCCTTTCATTTTACATCCATATGCCATAAGCTTCAGGTCAATACCTCTCAGCCAAGTATAAAATGCTTTCACAAGTTAAATATTTTAGCTCATGAGCGTAATTTTTAATATGCCACTAATCTACGGGTCCTACTTGTTTTTTTTATTACTGATTTTATTTCAAATATTAGTAAAAAAAATCATTTGAAACTTAAAAACTCAGATGAGAATAGTTGCATAATGAATGAATTTTCATGTCTTCTTCCTTCAATTAAAGTACAAAGCACATGATTTTATGCTTTACTAAATCAAGTCAAAGCATGCTCGAACATTGTTCACTATTAAATAAACCAATAATGAATCAATTCTGCTTTTATTACTTTTTTCATAGCTATAAACTATATCCAGCCAATGTAACAATTTACTGTAAACAACAATAGAACATTAAAGTATTACAAGCTAGTGAAAAAAATCTATAGATATAGAACTATTAAAGTAACGTATCATGTGGCCGTTTGAATTTCCCTTGGTGTGAATTTTATTTTAAGTACCTTTTTTCTGATTCTAAAATTACTACAAATAATAGAGCTTTAAACTCCCCAACTATTTTTTTATTTGCATTGTTCTATGGAATGCACACAAGCCTCTAAAATGATACTTTGAAGAATTTAATTTTATCTTTGCTATTATTAAGTCATACATTCCAGAACTCCTTTCTTGATCTATATACTTCACCAATACATACTCTGCCTGGTTTGGAGTTTAATCAGCTTTTCTACTAAAAGTTATTAGTAGTTTTTGTTGCCATAAAAGAGCCCGAATGCAATGTTATTATGTGGAGTGTTTCAATCTAGTATTGTCAGTGGCTTGAATTTAAAACTAGCTTTGCACAAATTAGTTGGTATATTCTAATTATTTTTGTTTAAAAAATAAATCATTTCAGGTTCAGTTGCTTTTTTTTTTACTTAAGCATACTAACACAAATAAAATAAAAATGAGCAAACATTAAAATATTTTACTGAGCCTTCGCATTTGGCAGTGTAAAGGAAAGCATTTTCTGTTACACAACTATACAGAAGGAATAGGTTTTGCACAAAATGTCTTTAAAGTGCATTTCTTTCCAACAGAACAATAATATATTCTTGTGTATTGCAACATGTACATTTTAGCTGGCTGCATGAATAATACAAACTAATTATGATATCAGCCTTTTCATAGTATTAAAATATCTTAAGTGTGAAGACTTTGCCAAATTGAGAAGAGTTTCAGGGTTATGACAAGAACATCTACATCCACATGTTGTTCTGGTCTATATATGGCATTACATTATAAAGGTATTATAATTGTATAAGTTAATTCATTAATATTTAGTGTCCCCTATACTAGAACAATTCTGAGTAATCGGAAATAATACATATGAAAGCCGAAAATGCGTATGCCAAAATGCACATTTCTAAGACAATCTGGAAAAATTTAATTGCAGTAGGATGCAATTACCAAAGGCCATCACTGAGTAACATTGAAAACTATCAGTTAATAAATGCACACACATGCACACACAAGCACACACACACAAATGAGAGAGGCTAATATAACTAAAGATTGGATGTATTTATAATTGGTCTGAACATAACAGTTTCAGCAACATATAAGTAATTAAAATATAAATCTGAATTTGCCCCACACAACTTTGTTTTATTTCTTTTCAGGTTTCAGCTGCCTTCTGTTAAAAAAAACCCCCACATCTAAAGGGGAAAATATAAAAGTGCCATTCAACAAAGAAGCTACAGTGTAATCAATGAAGGCAAGACTGGCACAAGTCCTAGAACATTTGCATTCAGAAATAAATGCTGTGATCGACCTTTGTCTGGTTTTAACAGACTGTTGATGGGAGGTATGGACTTGAGAGGGAGAAAAAATGACCCACCCCAAATTAATAACTGTATTGCATCCTTAATAAACTGCAAGTCATCATTTTAAATTAATCTAAACCTTGATGGTCTGACATGCACTGAAGGTTAAAAATAAACAAATACATAGTCAAAAGGCAACCTCCTGATATCCACTAAGAGTTTCTGAAACTTAATTTTCCTGCTTGGTAATTACTCCAGTTGCTCACTACATTGTGGAAGCAAATAAACGTGAAATGTTACCACATGTCAATCAAGATGCATCTAAGTGATGAGAAAGAATCTTACCCTGTGAATGGTGGGGAACAAGCCTCAGGAACCAGATATGGAGAGAGGATGCCAATGCGTTCACCTTGCAGTTCTGCAGTCTCCTGTAAAAGCAGATGGAAGACACTGAGTGAGCTCCACGGTATTTCTTGATTGTGCAAGTGCATGCAGGCCTGGAAGAAGGGAAGGCGGTCCTTACCTAGCAACGGGTTCCAGTTCTCGTCCACATGCTTTCCCTGCCACAACTACCCTTGGCTGCCAGCTCCCAGGAACAACAATAGGAGACTAAATGGGGTGGCATGAAGGGAGGGGGGAGAGAAAAAGGGAGAGAGAGAGAGAGCACGAGAAAGAAAGGGGAGGGGGGAAAGAGAAGCGTGTTAAGCTTGTCTGGTAGTTAACAAGTCTTGAATGAAGAATGTTAGCAAACAGACAAACAGCATGTCTGATGCATGCTAATGGTCCTGGCTTCACTGCTGACACTATGAATAATTCAATAGTCCAAAAAAAAAAAAAGATCGCCTTATCTTTTCAAATGCCTATAGAGAGAAAAAAAGTATACCTAAACTTTCTCTTTTAAGCCTATATCTACAAAATTCACAGAAAGGTTGGGTAGCCAATAACACTTCTACCAGTGTTGCCGCTTAACATTTCCAATGGCTATTTTTGTTGGCTATTAATTTTCCCCGTTTACCGCCTATTTTATTCCTTTTGTCTTGGAGCTGGCACCTGTCCCAGAGGCAGCATTTTACTGCACACCCCTTTTCCCTCCTAAACAGTGAATGAAAGGGAGAGGAGGAACCCTGCAAGGACAAAAATGCCTCACAGTATTTTCCATTTCAGCCATAGTCAGATTACAAGGGGGTTAGAGAACTATCATCCGTCCTTGTTCATATGGCACAGATACCTGAAGCAATTAAAAAATATACCGAAAGAAGCTGATTCCATGAGCAGCACAGGGTTTTGGTACTTAGAAAGAAAACCAACCCACAAATAAAAGCCATCATTCTCTCAGCATATAAACTAGCAAATCCTGATTCATTGCTCAGTCAAATAAATCAATTTCTTTAACCAAGACGGAAAAAAAAAATGGATCAGCAGGGTGGTGGTAAAAATACTTGTAGCTTTAACCTCAACATTGCGATATACTCTAAAGCCAAGCTCAGCACAGAAAACAAGAAAAATACGTCCCTTTTTTTTTTAAAGGAGAAGGCTAAATAAAGAAGAGAAAAAGAAGATCCTATGTGTAGCGTTTTAAAAGTTCTGCTCTGGCAAAGGCCCA